ATGGGGTGTTTGGTAGTGCAGGACCTGACTCCCTTTCGTTGGGCAATAGGGATGTCTAGGTCGTCCACAGTGGGAGTAGGGTTAGGGGTTGGACTTACCTCCTGGGATTCTGATGATGTCAGTTGCTCAGTGTTTGGCTGCTCCACATTTCTATCACACTGCTGATCTCTCCGATGAGTACGTTGGAAGACACAGAAGGGAGTGAGGTCCGGAATAGAAGGAAGAGGTACCTGAACTTGCTTCTCCTCTTCCACACTACGGCTCTCCCCCTGAGGAGAAGGAGGGAAGAATGGCTCGGACTCAAAGGACATATCCATAGACACAAAAAATTTACGACTAACTGGGTCAAAACACCGATACTCTTTTTGAGAGGATGGGTATCCCAAAAAGACACAAGGAATGGACCGAGTGTCTAACTTACCTCTGGAGGGAGACAAATCATGGACAAAGGCCCGACAACCAAAGACTCTCATGGGGATGGAAAATAAAGGAGACTGAGGGTATAGTAACTGATGAAGGGCCATGTAATTCAATACTCTAGAGGGCATGCGGTTGATGACATACGCAACTGCAAGTATAGCATCCACCCAAAACCTTTTTGGGACATTCATGTGTAACATCATCCTGCGGGCTACCTCAAGGAGGTGTCTGTTTTGACTTTCTGCAACACCATTTTGTTGTGGTGTTCTGGCGCATGAGCTTCTATGAATAGACCCATGGGAGGCGAAGAACTCATTGAGCTCCCCATGGAAGTATTCCTTTGCATTATCAGATTGGAAGATCTATATTTCAACATGGAAATGCGTAAACACCATCCTTTGGAAGTCTTTCACTATCTTTGGAACCTCGTCTCTGCTACGCATAGGGATTACCCATGTATAGCGAGAGTAATCATCAATCAATGTAATAAAGTACTTATATCTGCCCTCAGAGATTACATTTGTAGGCCCCCCATACATCAGAATACACAACATGAAAAGGAACATTTGATCTTTTATTGCTTGAATGAAAGGTTGTTCTACATTGTTTACTCAACTGGCACGTTTGACACATGAACTCTGACACTGAACACGACTTAAATAAAAGTGGAAACAAACATTTTAATATTTCAAAAGAAACATGACTTAAACGACTGTGCCACAACAAAATTTGACTCTTATTTGACTGACTATGCGACTCTGAGGGTGACACCGAGAGACCAACTTTGTTGTCGAGAATGTAGAGACCATCCACTAGGCTTCCTCTACCAATCGTCCTCCCAGAAGTTAGGTCCTGAAATACACATGAGTCAGCAAAAAAGGTCACACTACAAATCAAGGAGTTTGTAATGCTACTAATTGAAAGCAAGTTTATGGGAAGTTGAGGGACATGCAATACACAACTCAGGTTGCGGTCATGGGGAAGGAATATTGATCATTGACCTGCAATGGAAGAAAAAGAACCATCTGCAAGTTTCACTCTATCCCTTCCTGACAAAAGGCTATAAGACTGGAATAAGTTAGGCTTATCGGTTGTGTGATTTGAGGCCCTTGAGTCAATGATCCAAGGGGAATCTATGGGAGTGACATGGAATGCAGAAGCCACATTACCTAAAGTAGATGCAAAAGAAGTAGAGGGAGTACCAGTGACTGAGCTGTCCATTTGCCGCAATGCCCTACCATAAGATTCCAGGTGCTCTCTGAATGAATTCATTATATCCTCCTTGGGGTCAAACTTATTAGGGGGGTCCCGGGTACTACCGGCAACTTGAGTGTCTTGAGTTGC